AACCTGGCAAAATGTAAATAATTTTGGTCCTTTTCTTAGATTGCTAGCGAGGTTCAATTTTGATCATATCTACTAGAGGTAAGCTATTTAAACCAGAATTCACTGGAATTGTTTTATATTTTCAAAACTAAACATTTAAATAAGAAACTTTTTGCCGAAAATGTTTATTAATAATAATGGCATATTTTTATACCCTTGCAGAGGGTATTATAATTTTGGTCAAAAGTGTGCAACGCAGTGAAGGAGACATCTCTGACCCTATAAAGTATATATATTCTTGATCAGGATCACCTCCTGAGTTGATATAGCCATGTCCGTCTGTCCGTCTGTCCGTCTGTCCGTCTGTCTGTTTCTACGCAAACTAGTCTCTCAGTTTTAAAGCTATCGGATTGAAACTTTGCACACACCCTTCTTTCCTTTGCACGCAGTATATAAGTCGGAACGGCCGGGATCGGCCGACTATATCCTATAGCTGCCATATAACTGATTGATCGGAAATGCCATAACTTTCGTGTTTGTAAAGTTAGGAAGTTGGGATTTTCTATGGGTTTTATATTTGGCCAATCAATCCAACCTACCAAATTTCATAAGGATCGGCCGACTATATCCTATAGCTGCCATATAACTGATTGATCGGAAATGCCATAACTTTGGTGTTTGTAAAGTTAGAAAGTTGGGATTTTCTATGGGTTTTATATTTGGCCAATCAATCCGACCCACCAAATTTCATAAGGATCGGCCGACTATATCCTATAGCTGCCATATAACTGAACGATTGGAAATGCCATAACTTTGTTGTTGTTAAAGTTAGGAAGTTCGGATTTTTTATGAGTATTAAGAATGCATCATATGAATAATTTTGGAGAATATAATTTACAGAGTATTCTGCAAGGGTATATCAACTTCGGCTCCGCCCGAAGTTAGCTTTCCTTTCTTGTTATTTATTTATTAGACCAAACAGTTTTACGTTATTAATAAACCGTACACAAATTTTTCACCTCTTTACTTTTACTTCAGTCAACGAAAATTGTGTTAAATTGTCTTAAAAAGGCTAAATAATTATTAATAATAAAAATGATAAATTACTTAGAGACCATAAAGGAAAATGTATATTTCAAAAAGAATCCCTCATATATGTCATCATCGATTACAATTAGTGATAGGAGATGTTTTCTAAAGTATATGGTCGATTCAGAAACTGGCTTCTAAAAAGGTCTACAAATAGCAACATTGTAATAACTCAACAGGCTGAGAGTAGTTCTGCCTACGCCCATTGTTACGAAAAGGGTCGGAGGATGTAAAGTCCGTCAGCAACTTATCTCAATGCAATGTCCGAGCACTCGACAAAAACCAAATTGACCAAAGTTAATTTAACCACTGTAAACAAGCCGGGACTCAAGTACCCGGCCACTTGAAATGCTTCGCTGGCCATGAGCAGAGAATAAGGTGAAAAAAGCAGATCGGGGTTGAAGGCAAATGAAAATCGGGAGGGGGTTCCACCATACGTATACGTACTGTAGTGAAAATCAATTGAAGCGCCAACAAACGCTTCAATCAATTTTACTTTGGCAAACATTGAGTGCAAAATAAATCACAGCACCGACTCGAGACGATGGTGGATGCTTCTCCCCGAGATCCTGGATCCTAGATCCTGGAACAGAGGGGTTGGGGATCCCTGCTACCCACGAGCTCATCCTCGTGTTTATCTTATTTATGCAAAGCTGTGGCAAACACCAACAATAACAAGCCAGGATGTGCGGCAAAGGCAACTAAAAAATGAATGAATTCAATGAAATGTGGGTAAAAGCTGTGGGAAAAGGAAAGATGCACCCGAGACAGAAAAGGAGTGCAAAAAATTGCAACAAAACGATTGGCAATGTGCGAGTGTGCTTGTGTGAGGACATCATGCTATTTGGAGGCACATCAAACATCTCAAACGGAATGAATAATTTATGGACACAAAGAAAAGGAGGAAGAGCCAGTCGCGTAAGCCAACTGCAGCGTGTTTCTCTCACACACGCAGTGGCGTGGGCAGCTGGGTTTTTGGGGGTTAAGTCCCTCTTCACTATTTTTATATCCGTCATTCGCAGGGTGAAGAGATACATTGTAATCGTTGAAAAGAATGTGGCACGCAGATTGTGGTGAACTCTTAAATCACCCCACAGACTTAAAAATTCAGAACACCCATATTTTGTATGTTAAAAGCAAATTTCGGCGGAATAATTATTTACTTTGTTAATATCTCCGAATAGTTTTAAAGTCCATCATAAAGTTAAGAAGTTATTGTTAATCCAATAAGCAGACATCTGCTAAAATCATATTTATATTGAACTTGGTTAGCAAAGTATCGTCAGATGCATGACATTAATGCATATTTTTAATGAATTTCAAAATATATTTAATGAAAAGTCTACTAAAGTCTTGTTGAAAAAAATTAACAATATGCGGATGACCCTGGGCTTTTTTTAAGAATTGTGCTAATCTTTATATAAATATAGATTATAGATGTTACTTAGTTAAAAGGACAAACATTTCTAAGTAGTAGTAGTTTAAGTAGATATTTTCAGACCCCCCCTGATAAAGACCACCAAGCGCTCCTGCACCCAAGCACACCTCTCAGGTATCCACGCATTAGTTGACACACACATTCCATTCATGGATTTCAATGCGACTGAAAGAAATAAAATGGCAATGCCAATGCAGAATGTAAATGGCAAGCTAGAGTGCTCGGGATACCTTTGCATATATTTTCATTTTTCGCACCACCACTCGCACCGAAGTATGCAGCATAATTCCAGCAAAAGAAAAATTTATTTCGAGCACAAAGCAGCCAAGTATCGGTGATGCACTTGCAGCATTTCATACATATTTTCGTGGAAAGTCTGTTTTATGTCCCGTTCAGCCAGCATTCCAAATGCGATTATCGCGGTATCTAACTTGCCGTATCTCACTCGGCATTCGTCTCATATTTCCAAAAAGTTTAAATAAATGACTGCACAAAACTTTGCTAATCTGACGGAAAACAAGTGAGAACGAAAATGTCGGCATGGAAATTCAGTCAAAAAGCAGCACAGTTGACTTTGATGCTGGTTAGACCGCACTAAAATTCGTCAATTTTTGAAATGCCACCAAAGAAATCAAGGCGAAACAACTGTCTCGTGGTAAATATTAATTTAACTTTGCGCATTAGCCGAGCAATGACACTCCAATGTAGAGAACCTGTGGCACCACATCGTGTTAGAGGCTGGCCACAAATGCTGGCGGATAACTTCACCTTTCCCCATCCACCGAAGCATCCTCCTCCCAGGGGGTAAACCTCAGTTCGTTGTCTATTTGCCTATGCGAAATTTGATGCGCTGTCTGCTTGTCTGTTTTTTGGTGGCCAAGCTCGTGTAGTGTCTCTACCTCTCTGGCTCTCATTATCGTAAATTTTTATGCTAAATACATTTCGTTGTCGGACCCAAAAATACAAACAACGAAACCGAAAGCGACAAAAGAAATGCGACCTTCCCTCGGCCAAGCACAATGAAATTGGAATACTCTACTTACAATCTACTAACATAATTATTAAGTAACTAAATGTATAAGTATGTCGGATAGAATTAAGAATAATCAGAAATTTATTTTACCTTGGGCCAAATATTTTAAAAATGTATTAAATGCTATTATACCCAACATTACTTGTAAAGCTCACAGTCAACCAAATCATGAATATGCTTCTTATGTAAAAATGTAATGTTTTAATTAACAATGCATTTTTCTTAAATTTCTTTAAAGCTGCAATGGCCAGAAGCCTTGTAGAATAGAAGGTATGCCCTTTTTAGAAAAAAGGACATTAGAGTTCCCCCATTTGTGGCAGCTGCCGCCACGTGGATGCCACTCGTCCGATGGCCAACATAATCAAGGGAACTCGCATGTGGGGGGCGGACCTGTGGTTCCTGACAAATTGAACAATTTAAAGAGGGATTTGTGGGTTTATTGTGGGCCTCCATTGAACTAGGTTCCGTTGCGCTTCAAGAAGGAATTCAGATTTGGAATTTGAATTTAAATCTTCAGGCAGTTGACCGGTGATTTAAGACATAAGAGCTCATAACGGTAGGCGCGGGATGTTTCAGAATGTTTATCAATTTAAAGCTTACACAACTTGAATATCAAGTTGTTCGCGGACTTTTTTTAAAGAAAATGTGGTTTGAATAAAACATAAAACTTTACACATCAAAACCTCTTTTTTACAAAGCGTCTTTTTTCCAATGAACAAATTTTTAGGTATGTTTTGTTTAGTTATTTCTTAAATCAAAAAAACACAAAAACCATAAAGCCGATTTTGGAATAAAAACATTATTTTACAATAAAAACTATCTTGATTTTGTCAGACTCTGAAATTTTATATGCACATATAAAGTAACATATTCAGATCCCATCTTATGTCAAGCAAGCGCACACTTAGCCCAAAACATTCACAGTCGGTTCAATAACCTAACACCAAAGGCACCAAATGTAAACAATTCGACCCTAACCGCTTGAACGATCTAATTATAAACTTATTGTAAACATTTTACATTAACAAATGTAATCCAAATCCTGCTGGAACCAACGGATATTACAAATTACCAATGACCCAAAGACTTCAACCTTATTTCCACCAGTCCAAAACAGCTGACCTCTTCAAATTTCGGCTGATGCTAAGTCCAATCTTCCACAAAGAACTTTTCTTTGTTCTCGAATGCTTACAAAGCTTCCAACGAAAAATGTTAGCCCTAAAAAGTCTTAATCCGAGTTTTTATGGATCACCTCCTCTTTCAATATAACTGAGTTTTCTTCTTAACCCTTGCACGGATCGGACCCGGACTTCGAAGAGAATTTTAATTCGTGTACAATAAAGTACATAAGTAAATCATATTCAATTATGAAATAAGTGACAGTTGTGTACCATTAAAAAATATCTACATATTTTTCTTTTTAAATAAAAAAACAGTTTTTAAAAAAACTAAACGAAAATATTTAGTTATATATATTTTAATTATATTTATACTTTTAAAAACCACAAAGTCTTAACTTGTTTCTTTTATTTTTCCAACTGTTCATATGGGACCTATATGATAATGTCGTGCGAACCAGTCCAGAAACAGTACTAAAAAAGATTTACATTTTTTTTTCACTTTACAAATGGTGCTTTAGATATTTTATATATAATTACAGCTCAGACAAATCAAATTTACTTGAATTTTACAAGTTGTGGAAGAGTTCAGTCTTTTTGTGGCTTATCACGTTTGTCAGATGTTTCTGTAAGTTCAGTGAGGCCCTCTTTAAATGCAGCATCACTTTGAGGGCTTCTTTCCGTCGAGGTTCATAATCATCTTTAACTACCTGTTTATTAAGAAGATTTTGTATAAATCTTGCTCTATTGGCTGAACATTCTGCGATTTCCGTGCCACTGGCTTTATCCCTTTGCACGAACAGAAACCGTTGGAGGCATAGTCCTTGATGTTTCTCAAATGTGAGTTTGAAAGAATCCAGCTCCTGAATGTCTCTCTGCAACTGGTCACCCAATTTTTTGTCCCTGCCTTGGACATCACGCACCATTTGTGTGGCCACATTGGCGGATTTTTGAAGGGGTTGCAACTGTGCCAGTTGAGTGCTCAGTTTATTATTGGCGATCTCGATTTCGAGGATCTCGGGGTGGATTTGGTCGGGCATATTGAATAATATATGTTCCTGCTCGCAGAGATCGATACTTGGACATTCTGGTATATTGGTGCCGAGCATCTGATTCAGTCGTCTTACACGCCGCCCCAAGCGACTCACCTCCTCAGAAATTTCTTTAATTTCCAGATCACTTTCCTCGTCAGATTTTTCCACCACTTCCTCGTCGGCCAAAGATCCTTGGGGTGAGGAGTCTATCTGATTTTCACAGCGGAAAACCTTTGTGGATGGAGCCCGCTGGGGAGGCAGTACGACCGTTGATTGTGCTGGCTCTTCAGTCTTCCTCCTTTGAAAGTGAGGAATCCCCAGTGCCTGGCACGGCTTAGGGAAATCTTGATCCATTGAAACCACTATTATTTAACGATAGCATCCAATACCAGATTAACAGGGAACGAAACAACTAATTATGTGTAACAACAACTAGTTCTTAAGTATTCTAACAGATATTTCAATGCAACCTTATGTCTTGAAAAATTGTTAGACTATAAAACAGAAGTTGCCTAAACAACTTACTGAAACGTTGAATTTTTTATCTGTTTGCCGCCTGTTTTGTACAAAGTTCGTCTACCATTTGTTCATTAAAAAGTCATGGCTATTCCATCAGGGCACACAATATTTACTATGACACCAAAATAGGAAGTATAATTTTACATTATCGCAAGTTAATAATAGTTTTAAGCAGAAATGGCTTAACACCCTACGAAATACAAAATTTACTACGTCACTAATTACTAATTCAAAAAGAGGATATGAAGAACGGAAGAGGATATATGAACGCAGTCTTAGGTTGGTTAACTCAAGCGGATAGCACAACATGACGTCGTCAAAAGGAACACGGTAACAAAGTAAAAGAAATTCAGTTGTTATATTCAAGTTGCTTTAAAACTAAACATGGGCATGTACTTACATATTTATTTAAAAAAAAAACAAGAAAGGAAAGCTAACTTCGGGCGGAGCCGAAGTTGATATACCCTTGCAGAATACTCTATAATTATATTTTCCAAAATTATTCCTATGATGCATTCTTAATACTCATAAAAAATCCAAACTTCCTAACTTTAAAAACACCAAAGTTATGGCATTTCGAATCGTTCAGTTATATGGCAGCTATAGGATATAGTCGGCCGATCCTTATGAAATTTGGTAGGTCGTATTGATTGGCCAAATATAAAACCCATAGAAAATGCCAAATTTCTAACTTTACAAACACCAAAGTTATGGCATTCCCGATCAATCAGTTATATGGCAGCTATAGGATATAGTCGGCCGATCCCGATCCCGTTCCGACATATATACTGCGTGCAAAGGAAAGAAGGGTGTGTGCAAAGTTTCAATTCGATATCTTTAAAACTGAGGGACTAGTTTGCGTAGAAACAGACAGACGGACAGACGGACAGACAGACGGACAGACGGACATGGCTATATCAACTCAGGAGGTGATCCTGATCAAGAATATATATACTTTATAGGGTCGGAGATGCCTCCTTCACTGCGTTGCACACTTTTGACCAAAATTATAATACCCTCTGCAAGGGTATAAAAACTGTGGTTTTTGGTCCCTGCTTTTAGAGTTGTTCAATATATTTTAGTTTTGAAAATTACCTTATTCCATAGACTAGATTAATGGGTCTTATAAATTTGCTTCATTCTTTTTATACTCTTGGCGAATCTACTCACAGAATAGTGTATTTTTTTACTCAGATGAGACAAGTCCACAGAAATTGCAGGCAATCTGCGGTTCACAGAGAACGACATTAGCAAACGCTTTCAGGCAGCAGCGTCACTTAACCCTCAACTTAGCAAAACAAACACATGCTGAGCAAAAATACTCACACAGGAAAAATATGAGTTATTATATTTTGAATCTATTTACAAATATACTTTTTATTACTTTTTGACGGTAATTTAGTACATATTTTACATATTTTTAAGTGCACAAGAAAACTTTTTTTATTTTAACCAAAATCTAAAATACATGCCTAAAAAGATTGGTTTGTTAGAATCTTGTAATTAAACAAATGAAATCAGTTACTTATAATTTTAGACTTATAATAGTTTAAACATTTCTCTTAAAAACACCTAAAAACTTTTTAATAAAAAAAAATGGTATTGCCTATCTGGTATGTTGATTTCCTACCCTCAAAATTATACAAACTATCTTTTAGTGTAACAGTGCAGAGGCACTTGAATATTCCGCACAATCCGTTTTCATGAGAAAACTTAATCCGATCAACAAACAAGCTTGATGTGAACTTTAAATTACTTAGATGAAGACGGGAAAAGAATAATAATGTAAGTACAAAAAATATTTAAAGCGCATACAGAAGAAAGGCATTCGAAGCTGCTAGTTAATAATGTTGCTCTTGGAGCAATGGATATTTTAGAAGATTTTTTTTATTTAGTACTTTGAAATGGATGTGGGCCAAATTAAAATATTTCCATCACACCTTTAGAGATTGCCTAGAATAGCACAGGGAACTTCGGCCAAGTGAAAATCAACCAACGATTAGATGATTGAACTCGACTATTCGCTTTGTTGGATAGAAATGGTACAAAGCAAACGCTTGCCACTGCATTGAATGACAGCGGAAAATGAAGTAAAATCTAATTAAAAACCTTTGCCCGACACTGAACCATGCGAAAATCACAATTGTCAGCGTAAAATTCACGCGCACCCACTAATTCAACTCCCCAACACAGACAGATGCACAAACAGCGGCGATTTCCCATACGCAAACAAATAGGGGATTGCGAACCCGAGTGGAGCGGAAACCTGGCAGGTGAAAAGCAGACGTCGGCTGTCCAACTTCCCCAATGAGGAATTTGGCGAAAACAGAGCAAAAGTTTTGGCCAGACAAAAAGGCAAGTTGAACTATTTTCGGGTTGGGAAGCGTCCAGTTCGTAGAGATGCCAAAACGAGGCATTCCAGATAAGTTTAGTTTAAAATATTGATTAATATAAGATAAGTGAAGTAATCATTGGCATCGCATATATGACAGTCCAGTAAGAAGATAAATAGAACGTTCTACTTTTTGAATATACATAATTCCGGGTTAAGCGAATATAGACATTATTTGCAACTCCTATGCGGAGATTTCTGTCTCAAAAACTAATGGTAATTTTATTTATTTAATTAATCAGTATTAATTATTATACAAAAATCAAATTTTTAAAAACTAATATAAAGAAAAGAATAACTAGCTAATGTGGCCATCGACTCGGCAATTGAAAAAATTTTACTTTTATATATTTAATTTTGAACATTTTATGAGAGGTGTAATATTCTATTGGATATTTGATAGGGCGGTTTAAATTTGATGAGTAACTGTACATTTGCATAACACAAAGATAATATTAAATTTGAATTAGTGGTTTTTAGGTTTGCTAATAGTTTAATAATTATAATTTTAATTTTGAATAACTATATAATATTTTAAGAAATTATTTCGGAATGTAAATATAAACATATATAAATATATAAAAACACGGTACTGGCTTTATTTTGCCAGCAATTGCAGGCACACGCTGGCATCACTGATGGGAAAGGATGAAGCCATGGGGTGTGATGGCCAGATAACCTCCAGGAGCGAATGAAACGCGCTGTTGCACACGAAAAATAACAAGCTGCGTTGGTCAATTCATCGAATGTCGGTCAGGGCTGCCACCGGGGAGAAAGTGGATTGGCGAGTGGGAAGCCGGGGCCCGGAGCCTGGAGTCCCGAGGAGGGTCTGACCACCTGGCCAGGGGCGCCATCAAAGTTTCGCACCCAGGCATTTGGTCGGTATTGTTTGAGGAGCCAGTGGGACCTGTGTTTGCTCTGTTTGAATTAAAAGAAATTAGTTTAGTTATGCCAATGCCCCAGGTTACGCTATTGAGTTATCGGCCGAGTGCGAATGGGACAACTTGCGGCTGTCGGCACGAGACATTTCGGATGGATAAATTGCATTTATTATGCAAGTTTTTTCTTCCAATTTGTGTGTGTCCTTGCCGTAGTGGTAGTTTTTCACAAAATTGCGAATATTTGCGTGTTGCTCTTCTGATGTCGGTTAACCATTATGTGGCAGGAATATGCCATTTCCATTTTAATGCCGGTCTTGGCAACGATTCAAATCGTTGACTCTTTGGCGAGTATTTTCCATTTATTCCCAGCTAAGCACAGTACGTGCGAAGTGTGCTTAAATTGTGATTGGATTGTAAAAAACACATATATACATAAAATATAGTACTAGACATATAGATATTGTATCATTTCTAGTATTTGGGACCTTTTTTTAAGAGTTATACCCCACACTCACTACATTTATTTCGGGTTCCCTTTGTGTAAAGGTTATATTTTATATATTTTTTTCCCCATTACCTAGTAATTATGCTGTCTATAATTATGTATATTAATCAAATAAGCAAATAATCTTCTTTGAATTTACTTTAAGATTGAAATAAAGACGAGCAAATTTTAGACAATTTCAGAAGTTACTTGCTTCAGGAAGTTTTATTCATTTTGCTTAATTTTAATGTTCACTTGTTCTTCGAATAGGAGGCAAAAAAACAGTAGTTGCGACAGGCATTGGGCTCTCTATTCTTTAAAGCAATAATCTGTGAGCGATTTGAATAAATTAATATACAAAAAGAAAAGAAAGAAAGAGGTAAAGAGGTTAGTTTTCCACAATCAGTGGACGAGCCAGATTATGATCATCATGATGGTGTCGTCGGAATTGATAGTGGAAATATGTACGCTGAATGGGATATTTAGGCGCGCCTATCAAACACGAACACAATAAATCATCGTCACGGCCCAAATTGACATTTTACAGCCAAAACCCAGAGAACAAAGCCCAGCGGAGGACAAACTAAGTTCCACTAGTCCGTGCCCCAGCTGCTTTTTTTTGTTGCTGTGGCTGCCGCTGTTTTCAAAGCCACTGATATTGTTGTCAACAATGATGGCCCAAAGCATCAGCCACATGCGTGTCGGCGGGGCTCATCCCTCGGCAAAGTGCCCTCACACATGCCTGCCAAAGCCAAACCTTTATTGCCACAGCTCCATGGGGCAACAGGAGCAACAGTGAAATTTTAATATCTGGCGCAGGGCTTGCGTATTGGGGGCGTGGCTCTATTAGAGTTAGCCCACTGCCGCTGACGATCCAAACTCATCGCATTATCCTTTGCCCTGCTGGCGGTTGCTCGCTCGAAATAATTGCACACTGCACTACACCGCCAATAAGCCAGCTGCCTCTTTTTTATGCTGTGAAATAGTATCATCAACTTTTCTCTTCAGGCATACACCAAAATAGCTATCTACGGATTGAAAATAATTTTCAAAATACATTTTTCTTAAATTTAAATTTAAACAAAATGACTTTATTTTGTATCAGAAGCGTTACAAAAAAGTCTTTAATTTACAATTGTTTTATGCTATAAGCAATGTGTTTTAAAAGACAAAGGATATTATGGAACATTAGTATACAACATATTGTAAGAAATAAAAATGTAATGCTCGTCGGACTAGGCAATGAACTAATTAAAAAAACTAAGTTAATACAAAAGCTAAGCAAATACTATCTATCAAAAAGGTTCTCTTAGTGAATATGTAAGATTCTATGCCACTATGAACTATTTATGAGGAGCAATCTTAGTTGTTGTACTTTATTTTTCTCCGTGTTTTTTTGGGAGTCATCTGTCAGTCAGCGCTCTAATGCCAAAAGCATTAAACCTCCGGCCAGCTGTCACCACAACACACAAATTGCCGAAACAAGCATCAGATTTAGGGCAACTACATTGAATCAATATAACTAACACTTTTCTCAGCACTGAGAGCAATTTGTTTTTACGCTTAATCATACCAAAATGCTTAAAAAGTTAATAATGTACCCAAAAGAAAATCACTTTAACTTGTAAGATATAAACAATTTGTAAGATATAATAATACATGTTTTACAAGTTTTAAGTAAAACTATTTCATTATTTATTTAATACAAATAAAATTTATTTCTTTCTTTACTCTGTTAGATGTAAAGTAATATAATTCTTCAAAACAAAATTGACTTTAAGATTTGTACATTATTGATTCGTTAAACGTGTATGGAAAACATCTTAAAAAATTCAAAAATGTTGTTTATCGGCTAATAGATGAGAAAGGTACTTTTTAAATCGAAAAACTGAACTGTTTTTAAGCTTTTGTTTTTAACCTTAAAATACAATCATTACACTTAAGCGATTGATTTAAAAAATTTATTTTCAAATGAGTCAATTTTAAAGTGTCCATAAAATAAAATAAAATAAATTAACCGTTTGATTATAAACCTTTTTTTTAAAACGACAATTTCATACTGTCTAATCATTGAACGTCAATGCAAACCTTTTCAAATCAAGTTACCTAAGATTGAGATTTTTTAGTAATGTGAAACTTGGAAATCTTGTCAAAGTATTTTATTTATACAAAAAAAGAAAACATGGCTGTGGTAAACATCGCCATAGTTTTAGCTCTTTGTTGGGTGAGCTGAAAGTTTCCAACTCTGTGGTATACAGAATTTGTGCATTTATCCACGACGTTAATTGCAGTTGGTCGTGGTAGAAGCTAGCCCCGAAGAAGACAGCCTAAAGGAGCACAATCGGTTGAGGAAAAAGCACGGCTGTCCCCCTTTGACTTTGGATGACACTCTGACCAAGGACTGCGAAGAGTATGCGAAAGTATGTTACGACTTATTTTCATACTTCAGATACCCTCTAAAACGTTTAAACAGGTTATAGGAGAACAAGGATCATTGACGCATTCAGGTGATGGACGAAAATATGGTGAAAACTTGTGCTATCGGTCTGACGATCCTTTGAAATGTGTTCAAGACTGGTACGATGAAATCAAGGACTACGACTTTGATAAAGGACAGTATAGCTCTGGCATTGGTCATTTTACCGCCATGATTTGGAAAAGTGCACAAAAAATGGGTTATGGCCAAGTCAAAAACGATAAAGGTGTCTACTTCGTGGTAGCAAGATATTATCCGCCAGTGAACATTATTGGGCAATTCAAAGAAAATGTTCCCAAGCCGATTGAGTATTTAAATCACGTGTTATATTTAAAAACATTAATTTTCTTCAATTTCAGTGGAAGTGATGGTACTACAATGTTTGACAACTCCAGTATGGTTCAAGTGAACGCCCTTCTCATCTTGCTTGCCTTCTTGCACTTTACGAATTAGAGCCTGTCCCATTTTTCTTTCTTGTGCCTGCATCGACTGAAAATTTGTTGTTCACCTTTTCAAATATATTCATCTTTATTTAATTTAAAATTAATATGTATTAAATATTAAACTTTGGCTTATGAAAGGAGTCGAAATATTCTTTAAATGGCAACACGCATAAATTCCAGAAATCCAAGTGAAAAGTGCTTACTTGTCAAAAGTTTTCTTCATATTTGTCTTTGTTAGTCGACATGCAAGTTCAAAACACAAACAAGAAGGTAAGTAAACTTTGGCAAGCCAAAGTTTTTTTGAAACACTTATCAAATAATTGATAATTAATTATCTAAACTATCACCATCAATTTATTTACAAAATATTATATTTAAGGGTTTTTTAATTTTTCAATTTTTGGTAAATGACAGAATTCTGCTTTGAAGCAAAGCAACTCTTGTGTGCCTGTGAGAATTCTGGGTTTATTTGAATTCGTGCGATAAGGATATTCCATTTTTTCATAGGTGTGAGTTCACAATGCTTTGTGCCAGCTTTTTTCTTCTTATTTATTTTATCTTTTTTTGGCAATCAGCATCAAGCCGACTGTATTCCCCATTGGCCATGCCGGTGTCAACAAAGTGGCGGGAAAGATTCAGATATGCTCACGCGTTCGTGGGACTGCCATTTAAGAATGGCTACTTATACCTGCCACTATTGGAGTAAAAGGATATATATACCCGACCGTACAAAGTACCCGCCATAACTGGCCTACAGACTTGTAAGGGTATGACAAATAAAATATTTTCCTAATTGTAACCATTACACAGAACTCCTATAAATTCTACACCAACAACGCCTTTTTATTTGTTTTGCCAAAATCGACGAAATTACAGCAATTTTCCAATTCGGGTAATAAAACTAAGCACTAAAACCGTTTTTGATATGCAAAACAAAGGGGTTGTTAGTAACGGGTATTTCATAGTCGGAGCACTCGACTACTTCTTTATTTCTTGTCTTGTTTCCCTACATGTCTGTTCCCAAGTGTAAGTCGATGTCTGGGGCCTAGCAGCTGCCGGGAGCGCATTAAATCCTTAAGCACTCATTATTATTCAATCAGATATGGAGTCGAATGCCTTTTTGTTTGGCTCTCACTTAGCCTCGCCTTCCAACTGGCTGTGTCGTGCGTGGGCTCACCTAATGACATTCAAATTGCTTCCATCTCCGGTCGGTTTCAATTGGAACACCTTCAACAAAAATTAATGGAATTATAGATCAAGGCGCCGAGGGAAGCAGTCTCCCCAGATATTTCTTTGACGCCGGGATAAGTAGGATGGCTGCTCTATCCTGCTTACTTATAAAATACATACGGTCTATCAGAGAGTCTACAAACTTAACTATTTTTAAACAAAATGCATGTTTGAAAATGTAAATATTAGCTCGACACTTCCTTTTTGAAATTATAATGAGTTAATTTAATTAAATTGTTTCAAAGTGTGAAAAGTGTAGTAGTTTTTTTAATTTTTATTATCGAGATCATAAAAAGTAAAACCAAATTTAAATTAAATAAAATACATTTTATTTAAGTTACTTGGTTAAATTTAAAAAGAAAAAAAGGAATTCGAGGACAACATTCTAAACACCAAAGCGAAATAAAATAAATTAGCATTTGCTGACATGTTTTATATATAAATGTATCGAGATGTCTTATAGCTATGTTTCGAGGCTCCACAATTTTATGTACTTATAAAATGTTTTCCATCGTCACTTCATTTCGAATCGTAAAATTTATGTGCATCGTAAAGGCCGAAAGTTTTGGCAACGCACTGAGAAAATGTTATGAAATCAAATTTTCACACAAACCATCCCTAATGACCAAGTCCGCAAACCGGACGGAAACGCGACGGCGCCGTTCCGGAAAAGACGAAGTCAAGACGCGGGACGTTACGTCTGGTTGGCAGGACTTCATTCCGCGGGACTGGAAATTGTTTAATTTTGCCCTCGCTTAATTATCTGCACTGTGCCGGGTGCTTAAATATAATGGCGCTGACCTAATTGAGTAATAATTAAAATTAAGTGCATGCTAAATTGTTATTAATTATAAGTTGCACGGGAAGATGCCACAGACTTTCATCGATAGTGTGCAGGAAGATATTTAAAAGAGGCGGGATAGTTTGTTGCAAGTGTCACCAATTGGCGAATTGCGTGCTAAAAGTGGCAGTCCTACCTGACAAATTAGAATTGCAGTTTCTATTAGTGGAGTTCCTGGAATATTTTCTGGGTGGTCTTTTTAGAATTTTAAAAAAAATTATTACCTTAATCACAATTTGTCTTATTTACCTGGGTACCAAAAATTTGTTAACCTAACAGAAATTAAGAAAAATTGTTATCATGCCCTTGCAGTTACAATTCTTTTGAAATATATTTCATTTTGCGTTTTTAATAATTTGAAGCAAATCCAATTCCAGCATTTAACTTGAATATTTTAAAATATTTATAGTTTTTTTATTTAGGCTCATGATCTGAGCTACAGATAAACAATAATCTGAATTTCTCCGAATTTATTTCCGTTATTTAACAACGAGCCGTACAATTAAAATATTTCCTTTATTAAAAGAATACTGCCGCCAAAAAGTTGATTTACTTTTCGCAATGACTAATGGCCCAGAAATTAAATGCGGCAACGAGTCGCAACTAATGCAATCCCACCCTCAGTCAGATAGAGAAACTTCAGCAGTTGCAGGGACACATTTCAATATAAATTATTGTCAATGGGAGTGCACAAAATGTCGCATGTAGCTGAAACACGAAAACACCGAAAAACAAATAGGGGGCCGGCGGCAGAGCTAAAAACAAAAAGGAAAACGCAGACAAATGCGTTATTCATCGTTAAAGCAACTGCAGGCTGGAGCGATGACGACAGCGACAGCGACGGACGACGAGATGGATGCACGGGGCGTATGCGCAATGCGATATGCAACAAATTGCTAAACAAATCAAATTTATTGCCATAGCTGCGCGCTCAGCAGCATTTGCAGTACGCATGTAAAGCGTCGCCCAGATAGCAGAAATTAATATGAGTCCGCGCCCCTTGTTTGGCTATCAGCGTTGGTATAACTTCATTTGGACCCGGTCTGGTCCACTGGTCCTTGATGGTTGTTAGCTGGTTGGTTTCCCAGCTCCAGTTCCCGTTTCATTCTTTCGGTTAAACTGCATTTTTGCACACACAGGCGCAGACTGCATCTGCATGCATAACAACATGGCGGTCGCTCTGACCGGAAGTCCGACTTGTGCGGCGTTAAATTTATGCCAGAATGCGGCTTCGCAGCGCTGCAGTTGCAAGTGCAGCTGCAGATTCTTTTCATTCTGGAGCTGCTGTTTCCCCACATTGGTACAATGGGTTAAATGAGCTGGGCGAGAAGGAAGCCAGCGGATTAAGCGGGCATTAAAGCTTTCTCCTCTCAAGTTAATTTTTAGCCTTCAACATTATTCCGTTTTGTATTCTACCTGCAAAGAAAGAGGAAATTTGTGAGTGTGAACTTTAAAACAGGGAATCTAGAAAATATATATATTTGTAGACTCGAATAAGTGTTGTTCCTTTTAAAACAAACATCCTGTTCAAAATTAAAATACCCTCTGTTGGGATATACTTACTTGTTGTGGATTTCTGCTATTATTTATTTATTTATTTATTTTTTAAGAAATTGGTTTTGACGAAAATTTTAAGTTAACTTTTCTCAACTTTAAATAATGAGTGTTCTGCTGATAAACAATTCTACCATATTTTTTTTTTTCCCTTAAAATTATGTTCTTTTTGTAAAACTTTTAAATACATATAAGCATGTACTTTTTAGGGCTGAGATGTAAATCATAACTTACGGTATTTCAAAAAAACGTGTACATGTTTTGTAAAAAATAACCTTTGAAATGTATTGACAACATAAAATATTAACAGAGGCAGTCCTGTTTTACCAAGTTTTAAACAGTTGAATGTCCTTAACTGGCTCTTACCAAATAAGGTTTTATTTTGACGGAGGCCTGCCCATTGTCGCCGCTCGGGCATTTTCGCAGTTGTTGATTTTTATTTTCTCAATTAGGAAGCTGTTTTTATTATTGCTGGGCGCTGCGTACAGTTAAGCAAACTAAACATGGGTGTGCGGGTGTAGCAAACATGGCCACGCCCACTGGCTGGTGGGTGGTCGTATGGGGGCGGCAGACACTTATTCATCAGGCGGAAGTTTGCTTGCTTTCTCCCATTGTTGTTGCGGCCGATGTTGCTGTTGTTGCCCGGCAGACTTGTTAGTTGTTCGTGGGTGTTTGCCGTTCATGCAAATTGCATAAGTAACGAAAGCGAAGGAAAAGCCTGGCGAGAAGAGCAGAAAAAGATGGGTAAGGCGAAAAAGCAGAAAGTAAAAAGTAAAAACCAACAAGGAAAATAGTGGCAAACAAAGTTGCTCTCGGCAAACTCCCCCGTACACTCGTATATTTTTTGAATTTATATTTAACTGTATTACAAGGCAACTGCCCCCACAGCCCATCCACACCCCATTCCCAACCCCATTCCCATCCAAAGCCAGCCAACGGAATCGGAAGTTATAGTTATGCCGCTTGCGCGGACGCATTCTGCAAATATATTTTTGCCAGGAACAACAGCAACAAAAGTTTATTTAAAACTTTTGCGGTTAAGCTTGTTACTTGCCAGCTACTTTTGCGAACGCCCTCCGCCCCGAAATGCTAACTCGTTTAGCTCAAGAGTTCTGCCCTAGAAAATATTCGAGCTGCAGCCATAAACATTTTCGAGCAGCACGTGTAGCCCATCGGTGGTCATAAAAATTACACAGACTTTGGCTTTGACTCCTCCATTAATGTCGAGAGGTGTCCGACCCGGCGACCGGCGCTGCTCAATCTCATCTTAACAAACTTTATACAGCTGCTTAAATTTTCAGCATTCTATTTGCTACCCCTGGTGTTGGCATCATAAAAATTTTCAATTTCATTTGCCAGGCACAAAGAGCAGGACCAGTAGCAAGAGAAGTCCGGGGATTCGGAGGCGGAGCCGCATGGAGCAGTGGCAAGTGCAGGATGCTGCTGGCATATCGATGACGGCCACCTCTTCCGGA